TCTTGTTGGAGAGTAGTTGAATTTCTAGATGAGAGAAGCTATAAAGTATGTACCAATTTTGGGTATAAGCTGGTCAAATGTTTCCAACATTCTGTAATAAAAATGCAATGGTTATAACGTACATAGAATAAATGGTTGGTCTATGCTTATTGACACCTCTAAAACCACCTGCTACTTTTAGTGGCTGTTAATGCATAGGTATATATATTTTAGTTGTGTATTCTTTTATGTTGTTGCAACTTGGTGAGAAAAGTCAGGATTAAAATTTTGCATGGTACTGATATACAAAATCAGCATTTCCATTATTTAAACATATGCAGAGGATGCAAAAACTGGTCATATACGGAGCAAATTTAATCTGATTTGGCCCTGTCTGCCACTTTCCACCTTAAATCCCTTGATTGCAAACTCAAAGGAACTGGGCAGAAAAATGTTGGCTGAATGCTGTCTGCATCCATTCCAGTGCAAACACGGTTCAAGTATTAGGACAGCTTCCCAGCTGTGAAAATATGATAGCAGAGGGAAAATCATCTATTTGCACCAGGTACCATGGACAGAGAAATCTTAGATGCAGGCTATGAAAAATGTTTATGTGTATGTAGCTTTAAAATACTGTATATGTAACTTTTTCTCCTTTTTTTTCTTACCCCCCTCCCTTTTACACATTTTCAGACTTTTTTTTTCATTGTGAATACCCATTGTTCCTCTTTGATGCCCCCACTTCTAAACTCTCTAATTAAGCTGGTCATTGACGGATTTAAATTCGGCTGGTTCAGCAGATTTTTTTCCCAAATGATCACTGCTGCTGACCATAGACGGCAGCAAGGATCAATGTATTTTGATGGCAGTGAAACCTCCTGCTCTCACAATACAGTAGCGACTGTGTTGATGGGGGAATCAAACTATTTTCTTTCCTTCAACCCATGGTTAAAAGAAAGAAAATTGCATAATGTATGGCCTTAGTCAAGGATAACATTGATTGCCTACCTGCTGTCTCCTGGGATGAGTGACGTGGACTTACCAGAAGGCAGCAGGGATACAATCAACATCCTCCTTGACCAGGAACAAGTATCACAAAGATTACATTTTATTTGACTTAGGTAGGGTGAATTTCCTGAGTCCTTCAATCCACTTCCTGTGAGCCCAGGCTTTCATGTACTGAGAGGCACACATCATCACATGAGCATCGCTCAATCCAGGAGGAAGAATTGCCCATCGCTGCAGTTGGAGATGACTGAAGGATTGGAATGAGCAATTTAAAAAAAAATAGCAGCAGGGGGTAGGGGGGAAGTGAGGGAGGGGGTATTTAGAAGAGAGGGGTAGGGTAAAAGATAGACAAACATTAGCTGATGTTCAGTTTCAAACATATTCCCTATATTTTGTTTTCTAATTCCTATTGTAGTGTTGTAATTTGTTTTCAATTATTTAAAGCAGTTGCAAAGGCTGATTATTTTTAAATTAAAATAATAAATATGTTATACTTACCTGCGCTGTGCAACGGTATTGCACAGAGCAGCCTCTATCCTCCTCTTCTGGGGTCCCCCTCTGGTACTATCTGCTCCTCCTCTTCTCCGAGAGCCCCCAAAGCAAGCCACTTGGTATAGGGGCACTTGTGCAGGTGTAATGTTCATAGACACACTGCCTGCCTCCTGATTCCTCCTCACTGGATTTGATTTACAGCAAGAAAAGCCAATGGCTCATTCTGCTGCCTGTGTCCCATAATTGCAGGAAGAGTTGCAGATGGGCACAGCGCTGGATCTACAGAGGAGCCAGGTTAGTGTTTAAGGGGGCTGGGGAGCTGATATTGAAAGTTTTTTTTTACTTTAATGCAGTGAATACATTAAGGTAAAAAAAAGTTATGCCTTTAGAACCACTTTAAGAGTGACCTTTAGTGAGGTCCTTCAATTTTTGATTATCCTACTTATATTTGTCTCTCAGTTCTCTATGGGTTGAACACCTTTGGATGTGTAGACTGTCCAGACCTGACCTATAGATTTAAAGTAAAGGAGAGAAATATAATACTAAACAGGGAGCAGAGCCTCTACGTGTAAAAAGTAAATTCAGGAAAACCCATAAATATAGAATTGCAAACCATACTCAGAAACAATGTTTTTAAAAGGTTAACAGTTATTAAACTACAGTTTATATTAATGTTATCACGTTCACATATATCTAACAATTGTAAAATAACTATAATTACTTTAAATAGTTCATTGCCAGAAGATCTCTCTAGTTGAATGTTATGCTAATGCAAATACAAGTCTTACATGTTATGACTTGGCTGTCTCAGCTGCCAGTCATGTAAGACAGTCAGTCATGATAAGTGATGTTCTGACCCACTGCAAAACAAAAAAACCTATCAACTGATCAAGACACATTTTAAAGCTGAATAGTATCTAGACCATGCAATGTAATCCGATTGGGCTATTGTTTTATAAAAAAAATCCCCAAGTTGAACTTATGCCTTTTTTTGTCTTTTATTTTTAATCAAGAATTGTCTCCTGCCAAGTATTTGGCTTCAGGATGGTAACACAAGCACAGGTCTGCGATAGGGAATCAAGAAAACATTCTGCATGCATTTAGTACTGTCTGCTACACAGTCTAAGGCAGTGTTTCTCAACTCCAGTCCTCATGGACCCCCAACAGGTCATGCTTTTCAGGATTTCCCTCAGATGAAACAGCTGTGCTAATTACTAAGGCAGTGAAACTGATCAAATCACCTGTGCAAAATAATGGAAATCCTGAAAACATGACCTGTTGGGGGTCCATGAGGACTGGAGTTGAGAAACACTGGTCTAAGGGCTCATGTACATGGGGCATTTGGAAAACTCTTCTGTACGATGGAAACTGACTGCTAGAAAACGTAAGTTAAAAAACGTCAGTTTTTCTGCGTTTGCATAACGCGTTTAACCACGCTTATGCACACTTGGGTTTAGAAGCTTTTTAAAAGATAACCTCAGGAGACCTTGCCAAATGCCCAAAATGCACTGAAAAATAGTAAATTCCCTAAAAAAGGCTACTAAAATACCGCAGGAGTTATTTTATCAAGTCTTGCGGTATTTTAGTAGTGAAAAGCATGCATTAATGTTTCAGCTGTCAGCGGGGTTCCCACTGACAGCTGATTGTAAAAGAAAGAATTGCCGGCAGTTAAAAAATAATTAAAAAACGGTCCCCCCTCCTGTCCATACCAAGCCATTCAGGTCTGGTATGGATCCTGAAGGGAAGCCCCACGACAAAATAAACAAAAAAAAAAAATAGCGTGGGGTTCCCCCCCAAAATCCATACCAGACCCTTATCCGAGCATGCAGCCTGGCAGGTCAGGTAAAGGTGGGGGGCGAGCGAGCTCCTTTACAAGCATTTGACATTTGAAACGCTGATAAAATCTACTCTTGAATGCAAGTTTGCTGTGTTCAAAAAAACAACTGTAAACTCAACTGCCTGTAAATGACATAGTGTACATGGACACATAGGAAAACATTAGGGAGAGTTCAGGGGCTGCTGAAAAAAAATGCAGAAAAGCTCCTGAATGTGAGTTTATCAGCTGCAGTGTACATGAGCCCTAATAATATAATCAGAGATGAGGTCATATAAGTGGACATTACCTTGCTTTACGCTTTCAATAGGGGAAAATGATTTCAGGTACAAAGCCATGGAACAAAGATAACTTTACTGGCATGCAGATCAGCTTTCATAGTGGATTTATTATAGTTCCTTTTAGTCTTGGCTTGTGTTCAATTTAGTGATATGTAACTCTCAATGCAAATGATGGATGTCTGAAGCAAGCACAGTTTCAATGAGCTGTATGAAAATTACATCTTTAATCCAGTTGCATTAGGTGTATGACTTCCAGGGAAAGAAGTATTTTTAGCTGACAATTTCTAGAGGCTAGAATTGGAACTTTTTTTTTAGAAAACCAGGACATGGTTCATCTGAATTTCAAGTATGTACACACACTGAAGAACATAATTTTGCTTGATGCTTTTCTTTGCAGTCAGTTAAAATAGTTCCTGCCTTTATATATACTCTATATATACAATGTATACATACTGTACATGTTAGGATCTCTTGTATTTAAGTAAAATGTGTCAGGTATGTTGATGTAAAGACAGACACAGACAACATATTAATGCAGAAGTCTGAAATATTTAGGGAGACCTCCTCACCCTTCCACTGATCAGTATTATAGGACATTTGAAAGGTAACCTGTACACTTGTAGATTACAAATACCTTCTCTAGAAGGTTGAGCACTTTATCGTTGAATTTAAAGTGCTCCACCAACAGCAGGCCTTGTGGCAGATTTACCCACTGGCCAGCTGTGGTCTATTTGATTGTAGCTAGGCCTCAACAGTTATCCTTATCCCTCTTACTCCTTACCCTGGGATATTTTTTACATTGAACGCCATTTATTAGTGCTCACGGTGCCTTTATCCACAGATGAGTGTGTCATTGTATTGTCAGGTCTAATTTCAGGACAGGGCATCACTGGAAATGGTGGGACAGCCTGTAAAATTTCACCAGCTCTTTCAGAAGTAATGCTACATTCATCTGGGATTCTCCTCACCCTCTCCAAATGTGATTGGTGCAAAATTTGTGATTTCTGCAACTGATGGTGGGACCAAGAATTTCTTCTTTTGGCAATGTGTTTGAGACAGTCTCATCTCAGTTCTAAGGTAAACATTTTTTTGAACTTCAGATGGGCCACTGCATAACCTAGTGGTGGGAAATGTAGTAGAAAAAAATTCTTTATGCATGTAATCAAATTACCACAATATACTGTATGCCCAAAAGCTGCAGTTGTTTTACAATATAAATTGCAAGCGTGAAAAAAACAAAACAAAATTAAAGCAGTGCTGCCAAACCAAAAAGAGTCCAAAATATACAAAAATCTATTCACCATAAGTATCTATATTAACTACTTGCCAACCGCAGATAGCCGAATGACGGCTACACTGCGGCCGGCCAGTTCTGAGAGGGTGTCATATGATGTCCTCCCAGAACGCGCTCTCCTGCGCACCCCCCGGGGGCGCCCACCCGGTGATCTCTGTGATTGCTGTGTCCTAAGGACACAGCTGATCACGTGATGTGGTAAAAGGCCAATCACAGTGGCCTTTCACGACGTGATCAGCCGTGTCCAATAACACGCTGATCACCGGGAAATGCAATTATCGGTTCTCGGCTGCACTTCCTCACGCTGTCAGAGCGTGAGGAAAGTACTGCCGAGAACCGGCAGTTGTCAGAGCAGGGATGATCAGTGCCCTGATGATCGGTGCCCAGCAGTGCCACCCACCAGTTCCGCCCACCTGTGCCCAGCAGTGCACCTTCCTGTGCCCAGCAGTGCACCCACCTGTGCTACCCAGCAGTGTTACACACCTGTGCCCAGAAGTGCCACCTACCTGTGCCCAGCAGTGCCATCCACATGTGCCCACCCACCTGTGCCCACCAGTGCCACCCACCTGAGCCCACCAGTGCAACCCACCAGTGCCCATCAGTGCTGCCAGTCAGTGCCACCAGTCAGTGCCCAGCGGTTGTGCCAGTCAGTGCCCAGCAGTTGCGCCAGTCAATGCTTAGCAGTGCTGCCAGTCAGTGCCCAGCAGTGATGCCAGTCAGTGCCACCTATCAGTGCTGTCTATCATTGCCACCTATCAGTGCCACCTATCTGTGACACCTCATTAGTGCTGCCTATCAGTGCCGCCTATCCGTGCCACCTCATTAGTGTTGCCTATCCGTGCCGCCTATCAGTGCTGCCTATCAGTGCCCATCAGTGCTGCCTATCAGTGCCCATCAGTGCCGCCTATTAGTGCCAATCAATGCTGCCTCATCAACGCACATCAGTGAAGGAGAAAAATTACCTGTTTAAAAAAATTTTATAATAGAAACAAAGAAACTTTTTTTTTTCAAATTTTTGGCACTTTTTTTATTTATAGCACAAAAGTAAAGTGCCTAGCGGTGATTAAATACCACCAAAAGAAAGCTCTAAAAATTTCATATGGGTACAATCTTGCATGACCGTGCATTTGTCAATCAAAGTGCGACAGTGCTGAAAGCTGAAAATTGGCCTGGTAAAGAAGGGGGTATAAATACCCGGTAGGCAAGTGGTTAAATAAACATTGTGTATTCTTCTCTGTGTCTTTACTCCAATAATATACAATTCCTTCTACCGCCACTTGGGCTACAAACTCAATCACCATGCAGAGGACAGACCAAAACAGCTAGACCTAATGTGATGTGTTTTTGTCTTCCATGTGTGTTGTATTTATACCCTTTAAAATGAAAAAAAAAAAAAAATCTAGACCTCTATTGCCCAATGTTAAAGGATAGGTAGGAACGAGATGAAATATCTTCTGAGGAGCCTACTATGTTGTATGGTTTCCTGGAGACATTGTATGGGAACTATTCAAGCAACTATTCAAGGTGCATTGTGACTGTGCTACTATACAGTGTCTATTGAGGCACTGCTACAGAATTAGAGCCACTATCAACTTTGCTGTTAATAAAATGCTGCTCTTAAAAGGAAAAATTAGTTTGCAGCTATATGAAGGCCTGGGATATTTTTGTTGTGTTTTTTGAGTATCCTGTACCTCAGCCCTCTCTTCACAAGTTATTGAGCAAATAAACCTTTAAGACTAAAGGAACTGAAGCTTGATTGTCACTGGTGTGCTGTTAGAAGCAGCTACAGGGCAGGTCACAATTAGAAATGAGAGTCTGTACAATTCTGGTAGCTCCTTTGGAGGTGAGTGCTACTTTTTAAACAGAAGTACATTTATATTCTGAAATGGCTATAGGCAAAATGCTGTGGAATGACCTAAAGGGATTCTAGAAATAGCAATGAACTGAAACAGTTCTGAAAGTAGAAATGATCCTAAATTTCTCCTAACCACTATGCAAGTCTTATCACCAGCTATATAGTAAAAGTTTGCTGAAGTCTTTGCTGTCTAAAGATATTTTAGCAGTTACAAGGGTAACAGGAATGTTTCAACAATGTCTTCAATAAAGACTTGAAGTAATTTTGTTACTTCATACTTATTAAGCAGTCAGTTATTTTTTTATTAATGTGACTATAATATGATGAACATCAGGCACATTATGAGCTAGTTATGTAGACACCCAGGAGCTTGTGGTAGATAAGAATCATTGTCTACTTGCTTTGTGCCATTACATAAGGTTTTGCCGGGCAAGATGGTGTATTATTGTCTTTTGGGAAATCATTCAGGATTGTTCTGAATGTAAGCTAAGTGATTTTTGTATGCAGGATCATCTCATTATAGACAGGATGCATCCTTAATGGTTTGTGCATTGCCTCAGCAGGTGTCATGTAGAGAGAACAAGAGCACACATTCATGCCAAATCATACTGTTTTGTAACCCCAATGGCTTAAACTTAGTGAGACTTAGCAATGCTTGTAAGAGTTTCTGTAGTGGCTTTTCAACAGAACAGTTTGCCTGAAGCATCAGAGATTCTAGGCTTAAATGTTTACAGGCTCTATAAAAAAATACAGAAACTAAATTTCAGCTGCAACGAAAGCCATATTACAATATATTCACAGGTCAGATGCTACAAACTGCTGTTTTGAACATACTGCTGTGTGTACAAGCAGACAAAATGCACTTTTTTTTAGTTTTTTAAATGTAGTGCAGTAGCTAAGTGTAAAATGCAGTGATTCACAGAATCCAATTACATTTTGGTGTAGTCAAGTCAATAAAAGATAAAGTATGATAGAATTCTAATATAAAAGATCTTTTGTGTAAACAGGATTATTTAAGCAGAGCAAGAAACCAAGTGATGTCACAGAAATATCAAGTAGATATAATTGAATGACATTTACCTTTCTAAAGCACTGTGTATAAAAAACTGCTTTTTTTGTTTTATAATGAAAAATTTTTTTTTCACTTTTACATCCTTCATTGCATCTCCTGTCCACAGGCATCCACTTCAATAATAGTGCATGGCATTTCTCAGGATAGGTTTTCTGATGGTGACAACAGTCAATCATGCCTGCATAATCTGTGTTGAAATGGTCTCAGTTCCTAAGCAAGGACCTTCATGTCAGGATCACTAAGTAATATTTGAACTAAAGCTGCAGACTTAAATATATTACAAATGATTTTCGAAATTACATTAACATATTGATGTTTATATGAGTTTCAAGTGTTTTGATATGCATGTGCTTTTAATGATTGCTGTGTCATCTGCTGTCAGTATAGGGAAGTTGCAAAAAATTTGTTTTCATTATTCCTTGAGACCATAGCCAGATTTTCTGATAGACAATGGCAGATTTACACTTTTTAATCTCAGCGTTGACACCTAATGTAAAACAAAATACAAGTATGTCAGACAGTATGCTAGTTCTAGAGGCATTTCGGTGGAAGAACTGACAATACAGTGGGGGAGATTTACTAAAACTGGAGAATGCAAAACCTGGTGCAGCTCTACATAGAACCCAATCAGCTTCGAAGTTTTGTTGTCAAAGCTTAACTGAGCAAGCTAACGTTAGGAGCTAATTGTCCACCATGCACAACTACACCAGATTCTGAGTGCTCCAGTTTTAGAAAATATCCCCCAATGTATTGATTAGCACTGCATGCAAGTCTTTCCCCTAATACAATAAAACCATATGAATGTATCTAAAGCCAAAACTTTTTTTTTTAAGTCTTAGCTAGTTGTCCTGGTGACATAGTGACAAAGAATCCAACATTTTGACTTGTCACTAGAACCAAAATAGAGGGGAAATACAATATTTGATATGGTGACAACTTAGAGTTGATTTGCCTTACATTGGAGAGACTTTCTCTCACTTTCTGTTGTTTCTACAGGATGAGAAGTACAAGGAAATATCTCCAACGGGACACAGGACACCAAAAAATTCCTGACAGGAGCTCTACCTATTTTCCTACTCTATCCAAAATGAAAAAATATAAGTATAATATAAATGTATACAATATTAAAAATGTCTTTAGATCTTCTTTAGTCAATATTCAGGCCTAGCCCCAATAACAACAGAGTTATTTGTGTGGAATCACATATACAGGTATTTCTCCAGTCTTATCAGGACTGTAACTATGTATGATACACCCATAGAAAAACCAGTAAGGATGCCCCTTCCTATGTAATAACCATCACGAAGGCCATTCCTGTAAAGGTACGGTATTCTCCACCATTTGGATGCCGCCACCACTTATTGTACAATTTTCTCCTTTGCACCTTTTGTCAAGCCTGTCTAATTATGTGGAAGTTATTGTGCCACTCCTCAATGTGTTACGGGTGTAACCCTTGCTATTCCTTGTCTCCTGATCTTTGCAATGATATTCCAAGAGTCCCTATGAGGGATTTCAACACTGTACTGTTGTCATTCTTTTTTTATTTTGTTATTTTTTTCCTAAATTCTTAATACAAATATGTGGGGGGAAAAAGGTTCAGTATACTAACTGCTTTATCGGCAATCGCGTAAAGCAGGATTCTCAAACTGTTGTTTTTGGTTCTTTTTTGTGTCATGTAGACAAGACTGAATGAGGCCTCAGGTTGTTTTCCAGTGGTTAAAAGCTACACTTCCTAATATAATTTTGCAGCTGAATAATTATAATATAAAAATGTATTAACTCCTTTTTAAGAGCATAGTTTTTGTAAACACCAAAACCATATTTTTCTGTAATTATGCAGGCATGGTTCTGCATAGTGCAGCCCCTTGAAGATTTATTACCCTCAGTGTGGCCCCCCTTTGAGTTTTACATGTCAGATGTAGAGTTTCATCTACAGGTGATTCCTGAAAACTCATCTCTTCATGGAAGACTATCTGACCTCTACTTAGAAACTCCAAATTAATTTTCTCCATCTGTATATCCCTCATGATATATACAACCTGAATAATAATAATAATAATAACATTAAATAAACATGCATGTTATCAATTGTATCTGCACAATTTTATTACCACTTGTAGAAAGCATTGTGTAACCTCAAAGCTCTGGGCCCCCTATGCTTCTGGGCCCTTTACCTGTGGAAAGGTCCACTATAGTAGATACAACCATAATTCTGCAACCACTGACCAGTTTCATTTTCCTAGTGAAGGTTACAAAAAGAAATTAACATATGGATGGCTGATATTTGGTTGTACACCCTTGTTTACCTCCATTAAATGTATTGTTTTGTCTAAATTGCACTGGGCTTCAAAACATGGCGTGCCAAATTACCTTTGTTTTCTGCATTAAAATTATCACATTGAAGGCCCTACATTATGTAAACATAGTGCTACATAAATAGTAACAGGAAATAAATCTTACCTCATAGTATAAAGAAGTGTTCCATCATCTTCAAGACGTAGCAGTTTGTTGGGTGTAGTTATGTTGTGAGCAATGGACTTTTTGCCATTGTGGAAAAATGTATCTGGTGTCCAAATTTTACTGGCTAGTAAGTTATTGAGAGGAAGGCGCTGCATGGGTCCCTGAAAACGTAATCGCTCATCTTTCCAGCTCTGACGGAAGAACACATCAATGGTATATTCCTGCAAAACAACATAGAATACTAGTACTTTCAAACCGGTGAATAATATTTTTGTGTTACTATGTGATATATAGCTCTGCCTATAAGTATACAAAATAGTACGTATTAGCTTTACGTACTCTGAATAATAAGATTTTCCTGAAGTGCCTGAGCCCTTTGCCCACTTGGAAACAGGTTTCAAAAAGCATCATCCAGAAACACTATATA